GTCCAAGTCCAGAAGGCTGAGGCCAGCAGGGAAGAGCAAGAAGTAGCCTAAGGCACAAGAGGTGGTCATGACCTGGGGGTGATAAGAGGGAGTCAAGCAGTAGCAGGAAGGAGATTAGGGTCCAGGGGCAGCATGTGTTAATTATGGTAAGAGAAGGGGGAGTGGAAGAGGCCAGAAGAGGGGAGATCAGGTAGAGCTTGGCCAAGCAGACTTAAGGGTTCTGCAGTGAGATCCACACCGGAACAGCAGGACAGATTGAGTTTCTCATCATATACCAGCCTGGGTGGGGATGGCTCTCCAAGACTGAGCTAGCCTACAGGTTCCCCGCCATGGGCAGCCTTGGGACAGGGAGCCAATTGTGTCACTCAAGGCTCTACATTAGACAAGACACTTCCGTGGTTTTATTTCTTCTCCCTTTCAGCACATTCGCTGAAAATCCTTGTTCCTTTACAGTCTCAGGCTCCATCTCTGTCTCCCTCCCCTGTGGCCCTTCCCTCCTCTCCCTTCCTTCCAACAAATCTTATTTCTGCGGATCCCACTTTGCAGAGCTACTGTGTGAGCATGTTTGTGTGTTGTTGAAGGAGCACCCTCAGGTGGACAGGGGAGGAGGGATGTAGGAGGAGATCATTCTTCCTTCTCTTTCCCTCCCTGGCCAGCTGGAAATGTGCCGTGTGACCATCCGATCTAATTAACTGAACTTTCAGTCCTGACAGAAGGAGACTTTAAAAAAACAAAAAAACAAAAAAAACAAAACAAAAAAAAACCCTCTAGCTTTCTTGGTTCTTAGCCTCTTGAGAGATAAGGGAAAGGATCTGATTGCAAGGAAGTGGAGTCCCAGCTCCCTGATTCCTGCTGCCAGGGGCAATCAACTGTGAGCTGAAACCTCCATCTGAAAAACACCAAGGATAAGAAAAACCCTGAGCGCATGAGAACAGAGACTCAGGAGTCCTAGGGCTCAGACTGGGTGGGAAACTCAGCAGCAGAGATTAGAGGGGAAGAAAGGGTCGTCCTTCTCACATCTTCTGCTGGGCACCCACCCTGCAGCCCCTAGACAGGCTCTTCCTTGGTGCCACCTGCCAGCCTCCCGGGGGTTGCCTGGTGCAGGTCCACCCAATGCCAGCTCCTTCTTACAGAAGCACCGACCTCTCATTGACGTCTTCCCAGACCCTGCTTCCTCGGCCTCTGGCTCTCAGGGCTCTATCACGGGCCACTCAGGCTCCCCTCCCGGTTACCTCCCCTCGCCCTGCCAATGAATGGCCACCTGCTGGCCTCCAGCTATGCCAAGAGGGCATGCCAAAGGGATCCAGTGGCACACGGAGCAAGGGCAAAGCTGCTTGGGATAGCTTCAGGGGCACACACAATTCTCCTGACAAGGGCTGCAACCTGAGACTCAACTGCAGACCATGAAAAGCCTGTGGGGATGTTTTCCAGCAAGAGGAAGTGGCCACGTTCATGGTGCCAGCCTGCTTTCCCTGACCACAGCTAATCTGATTTTGTCATATTCAAAACATAAAACCAGACAACGCACCCAGAGAGTGGCACGAGCCAACCTCATCTCCTGCAGACATTGGCCCATCCTCAGTGGCCTTGCGACATTCACTGTCCTGCTGCAGCTCTTGAGAGGGTGGGGGCAGGAGCGTCTGGGTCAGAAATGCAGTGTACCTGGGGTGCATGGGGGCCGGACAACTGCCACTTGGTGTCACTGGAACCTAATGGGAGGGGGACAGGTAGATGGGAGGGCAAGTGGGCTACCCCAGGCGGACAGCCAGGCCTGGGCAGATGGAGGGTACAGTCCCAATTCTGGAAGGAGTTCTGCCTTCTCATGGGGAGCCCTGGCCAGGGCAGAAAGGTGGCAAGGACGGGAAGGACAAACACACACAGTATCTCACCAGTGGTACCTTCAGAGACCAACCCAACACACACACACACACACACACACACACACACACACACACACACACAGTTTAACTCTAGCCCTTATTCGCCACAGTGGCTACTATCTGTTTACACTTGGATTTATAAACCTAGTGACCTACTAATCATCTTATTCTTTTACCTACTTTTCACTTGACCCTGAAGTGAATGAGCTTTCAGCCAGTTAAGCCTCCCACTGCTGGGGTTCCCTGTTCAAATGCCACAACATAGTTTTAAGCCAAATTGTGCTTTTCCTATTTCAAAAAAAAATCCCCACATCAATGGGTGATAACCATGTGCAAATTCCTAATGAAAAATAGATAACCTCAGTTTAACCAAAGTCCAAAATATTTGCCAGTTGTTTCAGAAAAAAGAAAATTTCTCGCCTTTGGCAAATATTACTACTGAGAAAAGTTACAGAATGTAAGATAGTGTTGTCAAATTTCAAAATGATAACCAACCCCCTAGTATCAAATAAAATTATTTCATCCCATTTGCAGTATTAAAGAGTACAGAACTCTGTAATAAGAAATCAGAGTCTGATTTTTTTTTTCATTTCCAAAGCTTGATCATAGGGGTTTGCCAGTCTTTGTAGCCTCTACTTTATTTCAAAGGGGGCTTATGAGACCTCTTCCCACCTCATATCGATACCTGACCTTTGAAGATTAAAAGTGACATTAACTCTCTTTCCCCATTATGCCAGCATTGCCAATTATACTTAGCACCAACTTCAGATATTACAGATGCTCACCTCCCCTCTGGCTAAAAATAGGCATCATCATTCCCTGCCTGCTTAATAATAGCCCGTTAGGCTACTGGTGAAGCGGCAGATAAATCCCTCACCAAAGAGTATCCTCCACTTCACCCACCATGGGACGCCAAAAATGTCTGCCTATCAGTTGCTGAGATAGCTTTTACCAGTTAAAAATAGATCTGTCCACAAGCATACGCTGCATACTAGACTCTACAGAACCCAACAGCACCACACAATTTTGGAACAAGGACCCCCAAGTCCCTGGACTCAGGGAAGATTCCACAAACCATAGCATCAGCCTCCTCTCTCCATCTCTGCGAACACTATGGAACAATTTCAGTGACGCTACGGTGGGTCATCTGTTTGAAATCTATCTACTGTGTGCAGCCAATAGCATCCTTCCGGGTTTCCCTTGAAATGCATCCATGCAATGTACGCTAATTCTCCTTCTTGCTGAAAAATTCTCCTAAAATAATTCTCCTTCTTGCTGAAAAACTTTCACCAACTATGTTAATTGCTTAAAGCAATTATACTGTATTGTAATTATCACACTGCCTTGTAATTATTTGCTTTGTGGATGTGTCTCTCCCCCTCCCCCCGCCTCCTCCACCTCCAGATGTGAGCTCTTTGGAAGAGTTCCCTGTGGCCTCAGTATCCACTATGCGCCTGGTACATAGAAAAACTCAGTAACTTGGGTTAAACTGAGGAAATATGAACTGAAGCTTTGCCAAGCACTTCTTCCTTCTCTGATTCTGTTATGACCCCCATAACTTAAGTTATATTTAAGTGGTTATTCAACAAGGCTTACCACGAATCTTGAATATCCACTATGGGCTTCTGTTACAAAAGACCAAGGTAAAGTGGAAAATAATCATTTTCAGGTATTTATATATTTGGCTCCATAAGTGTCTACTTCCAAAAAAATAAATTAATAACCCTGATTACAAGTATCTCTAAGGTAAATCTCACATTAAAATTAAGGAAGTATGTGATATGCCTACCTTAATATCTAGTACATGGGATTGCACTTGGAACACGAGCTCTCTGTCCCCATATCCTGGTTAGTATCTCTAGTAATGTCAAAGCCTGAAGGCAATGATTTGTTAATGCCTGCCCAACCACTGATACCTGCCCCATCATTTCAGGCCAGTGGCAATAATATCATTCAGACACCTGATCACAATCTTTCTTCCTCCCCCTCCTCCAAACCAATGAATCATTGCACTGGTTTAATTTTACTTACCTCTCTCACCTCCCTATGGCTGTTTGATTAAACCCAAACTAACAAGTAGAATATACCCAATGGACCCCATGCATGCAAAAAAATAACTAGGCAACACTAAAGAGAAGAAAGAGGTCTTCACCCTTCCTCTAAGTTGACCAAACAATTTAACCAACAATAAAAGACCCTCCTTCACATACAAATGTAAATTGAATTTTAGCCTCGCGTCATTATGGTGGAGGGGGAAGGCTGCAATAGGAAAGAACGGACAAATTCAAGAGAGGCAGCACGGAGCTTACGAACAGTAAGAATGTATTCCCATGAAAAGAAGTCAGCAGCCAACAAGAGCATCTCTGACACAGACAAGCAGGATATCCCCATGGAACAGAAAAATAAAAATAGGCGACTGTTTGCTCATTAAGTCATCCTCCTTTCATGATTCACGTCTCAGAGGGTCCCTGACCAAGAAACGCCCTAAACAATGGAGGCAGATTTTCTGGTCTTTGCTGAGTCATCACATGTGAACTGGGTCCCAAGGCTCTCATTCCTGGGGCAACAGAAACATGTAAGTTGAGGACGAGATTCCACCCCTTAGCGACCCACCCAGATGCATACTGCCGACACTATGCAGCACGCACCCCCCAGCTGGCCTTGCCAGGTAGCAAGAACACGAGGGATTTGACAGGTTGCCATGGTAATACTCCAAGCAACTTGGAGACGTGCTCAAGTTAGATCCCAGGAGTTGGTTTCATTAGGCAGGTGAAATCTTAAACGCCTACCCGGGTAACGAAAGAAGATTACTAATCATTGTCTGTTAGTTGGTTTTTGTTTCTTGGGTTGTTGTTTTTTTGTTTTTTGTTTTTTGTTTTGGAGGGGTGGGGGGCTGTTTTTAATTTTAGGAGCAAACTCTTTAAATCTAATGCAACCAAAGCCTACTGAGGCAATTCTGAGCCCCAGGCATGGACAGTTTAAGGAACTGCCATCCTGCTCTGAGACTGTCCGCAGGCCTAAGAGGTACATCCATCTGTCCAGATCGGGCTGTTGGTGGGTGTCCAAACCTCCGTGACCTCCAAAGGTCACTGCCAAAGAAAGAAACTCAGGTGTACTTACGAAGGGCGTGCCACTCATCCTGACGGATGGTCTTCGTGATGTTGAAAGTGAGGTTCCTGGGAATGGTGGCTGAGGAGTAGTGGTATTTGATGTACGTGCATCGCTCAATTTCTCCTGGCAAATAGAGACAGGAAATGAAACATTAATGAGGCAGCAACCATGTCTGGGGCAGTTTCTGGGATCCATTTTTCTGTCCTGAGGAAAGAGACTGGTTTCGTATCAGGCCTGATGACACCTATAGTTTAGACAAGACAGTAATTCTGACTCCAAAAGGTAATGTCTGCTCTCCAGAGAGTAGAACTGAAGTCAAACACCATCGATTTAGATAGAAAAAAATACCTCTGGCATCATTGAGATGGGAAGAGCCCAAAGTTTAGACCAATTGCAGCTTGTTAAGAAAGTAGTGTCCGGGTTTTTTTTTAACCTTCAGAAAATCAGCTTTCAAGTCATGGGAAGAAGTTTGGCATTAAGAGACAGTATGGGGATGCCTGTTCAGTCAGTTAAGCGACTAACCTCAGCTTGGTCATGATCTCCTGGTTCGTGAGTTTGAGCCCTGCATTGTGCACAGCCTGCTTGGGATTCTCTCTCCCTCTCTCTCTGCCCCTTCCCCATTTGTGTGTGCTCTCTATCTTTCAAAATAAATAAATAAACTTTAAAGAGAGAGAGAGAGAGAGTGTAACAGTCTGCACCCATGGACTGATGCAGAACAGGCTTTGCCTTAATGATGTCCTCTGTGCCTGTAGCACACACGATCTCGTGGAAAGGTGAGCCAGAGGCGCCTCTTCCCTCTTCTCCGTCCCACACCCTAACCTCACCTCTGAGTACAAAGCACTCAAATCAAAGTCCATCTCCTTGAACCAGTCTCTTCTCAGCTTCGTGGGGGAAAAAAGTAGGGCCCCTTAACACACTCAACACCTGGTCCAACAGAACCATTGCTGCTAAGTTAGCAATGCATGCTTTGCTAATCAAATTAGCAAAATCAGTCTAGATCTTAGAACAGAGTTTCTCAAAGTGTGGTCCTGGGACCATCGGTATCCTCTGGGAACTTGCTAGAAATCTAATTTGCTCGGCCTACCCCCAGATCTGCTGAATTGGAAACTCAGCGGTAGAGCTGCAATCTGAATTTTAAATGTTTTTTATTTATTTCTAGGAGAGAGAGAGACAGCGTGAGCAGGGGAGAGTCAGAGAGAGGGGAGTCACAGACTCTGAAACAGGCTCCAGGCTCTGAGCTGGCAGTCAGCACAGAGCCCGACGTGGGGCCCAAACCCACGAACCGCGAGATCATGACCTAAGCGAAAGTCGGACTCTTAACCGACTAAGCCACCCAGGCGTCCCTGCAATCTGAATTTTAATAAGCCTTCCAGGTGATTCTGCCATCCACCTAAGTTTGAGAACCACAGCCTCTGAGAATCTAACAGAATTACCAATGTATTAACTCATAAATCCACCATGTTTGCAAATTCCGAACAAGAGGAATAATTAGAGGAGTTCCTTCCTTATTACCTTTGGTCTCCTGCAGGCATGTCGACTGATGCTTGCATATCTGAGGGATATTAAAACTCAGTGTCAGGAGATTGTAAAGAATCAGGCAAGAAGGGATTTTTAAAGGTCAGGGGTTTTAAAATTTGGTTTTGCACCGGAATAGATTTTGATGGTAATCCATTTTGCACCCCACTGATTTTCAATTTAGGAGTGGTGGCACCTGATTGAATTGTTTGACCCCTGGCTCACTGTCAGCAGGGAACCTGGCAGTTGGTGAAGCGCAATCATTTAGACAGTGCCTCTCATGAAAGCGATGCCTTATCGTAAATCATAACTGGGCAACCGCCCAACTGCCAGTTATTGGCAGACACACTCCCAATGGGACAGACGCTGTTCAAAGAGGCAAAGTTTGGGGAAGGTGTTGTACAATCTTTTCCTTTAATTTTTCACCTCCTCTGTCTTTGTCCCCTTAGCTTATAAATGTCCTGAAGTCTCTCACATATGCCCCCAGCATTCACCCTGACCACATCCCCACCCAGTCTCCCTTCTTCCCTAACTTGCTATGCCTCTCGGAAAAGCAGTCTCTCAGACTGTCTCAACTCATGCTTATCCCTACACCCACATGCTCTAATCTCCATAACAGTCTCCATGAATAGCATCACCTTCCATCCCTTCTACACATAATAAATCCCCCAGCCATCCCCAATGCCCCACCCCGTACCTCTAGCAGGGTCCCTTTCCCCTGACATCCATTGGTCACCAATTCTGTCAGCTCTATCTCAGAAATGTCCCTGGAGGGGTGCCTGGGTGACTCAGTCAGTTAAGCATTCATTTTGACTCCGGTCATGATCTCAAGGTTCTTGAGTTCACGCCTCCTATAGGCTTCTGTGCTGACAGCTCAGAGCCTGGAGCCTGCTTCAGATTCTGTGTCTCCCTCTCTCTCTGCCCCTCCCCCTTAAAAATATACATTAAAAAAATAAATAAAAAATAAAAAGAAAGAAATGTCCCTGGAAGCCAGCCCATCCTCTGCACCTGCACCCTCTACCATAGTTATGTGAATATGATGACCCACCTCAACAAACAGCCACATTTAACTGAGGACTTACTTGCAGGAAAGGCTTGCCAATTGCTTCATACATAAACCAACAGTTTCCAACTTTACTCACGTCATGGCACACACAGAAGAGATGTGCACAAGCCTCCCCGGGATAGAGATGCGGCTGCCTGGGCCTCGTCGGCCTCCCTGGGAAGGAACCAAACTTCCCAACCCACTTGTAATCCTGCCTGTCTGAACTCATCCCCATGGCAGAAAACTCTGTTATGGATATGGCCTTACTTAATCCTCAATACCACCCACTTACGTAGGTGTTCCCACGATCATCGGCACGATATGATCCTATTTCAACAAATAAGAAAACGGAGGCTCAAAAAGAGAAGGCGACCTGCCCAAGGAAATAGCGGTGCCAGGATCAGAACCCAGAATCGCCTGACCAGGCCTTCCCTCCACACCACTGTTTGGACTGTGTTCCAGAGAGGAAATTGGTCTCTTTTACACACAGGATAAACCTCACACTCCTTGGGCAGGAAGTCCCTGCCTGGTGGCCTGCCCTGAAAAGGGCATATCCATCAAGAAAGACTCTGCACCCCATACACCCCTAATCCTCCTCAGTAGTGGCCAAGATGGCAGCCTGTGCCCAGCAATGGAGGAGCAGTAGAGGTTTGGCCAGGACCCTCCCCGCTCCCCCCTGCGCTCCTGCCCTACTGCGCCAGGCACTCCAATGGGCTGTAATGTATCTGTTGACGCGTCTCACTCCCCCTCTAGATTATGAATTCCTCCAGGGCAGAGGCCAGTCTATTCCATTCATCTCTATCCCCCCGGCCGCCAGTGTGGGGTGAGCACCAGTAACACGTGCTCTGAAGAAAGGAATGAATCTGATGAGGTGCCCTCTGGAACACCACAGTGGGCAAGGAATCGATTGTTTCTGCTCTGTGCAAGGGATGAAAATAATCAAGGCAAATCAGAATAAAATGAATAAAAGGAGGGGACTGTTGCAGAACTGTGAGTCTATAGCAAACACCCCTTCCCTTTCCAGACAATGTAAGGAGAGGTTTATTTGAGCACAGTGAGATCGGAAAAAAAAAAAAAAACCCACATATGCACAGAACAGCCTCTCGCCGCACTTTGCAAATATAACCCAAGGGGCAACTAGGTCAGTGTTTCGGTTTCCTGTTCTTGTTTTTTTTCCAATGTTTGTTTATTTTTGAGAGACAGAAACAGACTGTGAGTGGGGGAGGAGCAGAGAGAGAGGGAGACACAGAATCCAAAGCAGGCTCCAGGCTCTGAGCTGCCAGCACAGAGCCCAGCGCGGGGCTCGAACCCACAAACTGTGAGATCATGACCTGTGCCCAAAGGCAGACGCTTACCCGACTGAGCCAGCCAGGCGCCCCTGTTTTTGCTTTGTTTCAAAGAGGGAAGATGAGAGGAAAACATACAGGGTAGAGGACTGTGACAAGAACACCCCCAGTAACTACTTGATGAAACCGAGAGCCCGCCGGAAATGGCCAGATTGGTGCCCGTCACTAACATCCAAGAGAAAAGTATCTGATTTCTTGGCTACGATCGGGTTCTCTCAGGCTCAAAACAAACTCAGCCAGCGACCACAGGCTCCAGGCAGGCTGCGGCCAGCTCCCTCAGTCTCCTTCACCCTCAGCCCGCCCGGCCAACTGACTGACCAACAGACCCTGCAGGTGATCAGCCAGAGAGCCTGGCCCCGGCTGGAGGCCTTGCTGTTTGCTTTGCCTCGGGGAGGCAAGCCTCCTGTCTCTGACAGCAATTAAATGCGAAAGACTCAAATATTGCCTAAGAAGAAAGGCAAAATATTTATCCATGTGTCTGCAGGTCCCATCAGTGTGCTGGGCTTTTGTAAATACAGGCACCATCTGGGTGCCAAATTTGTGTTGCCCAGAATGTGGGCTTCCCAATACAAATAGGTTTTCCGGTGACAATCTGGGGTTGTGGGGAGGGGGGGGGGGGGNGGGGGGGGGGGGGCGGCTACTGGGGACGCAGTGCAGAAGCTCCTGGGCTCCCCGGGAGAGAAGGTCCAATCTGTCTTCCCGACCCCTACATTCCAGCACATTCCCTCAGTCTGGATCGGGCAGGGGCACGCTCAGGAGCAAGGACATGGTACACCTCCATCTGCACTGGGCCTTCCGAGCTGGTGACCGCCCTATCCACCACGTCGGGCCCCCAGACAGACAGGATACCCCAACGAGTAGTTTCAAATGAGTTCCAAAAACTGAAAAATTTACAAAGCTGAGCACAGGGTGTAAAAAGGGCAGCAACGGGTGACGCGGGGACCCTGGGGTGGCGACAGAAGGGGGTGGTAGTGCCCCAAGCCTGGAGAGAGGGAGTCATCGCTGGAACCTAGAAAGAGTGGCCGTATGAAGAAAGGTGATGTGACCTTGGGCAGAAGTCACGGCCAAGCCGGCCAAGCCGTGGTGAGGTGGCTGAGAATAAACACACACCTCTCCCTCCTCCCTCCCCCAGGAGCTGGAAGGGACCGGAGGCCCAGAAGTCGAGTGCAGGTGCGAGGGGGAGGGGATCCAAGGCATCAGCTCACTCCCCTTTTTTC